TGTGATCTTAGATCAGAAATATCGTAAGTCCGATTTCAAAAATTTTACAGAAAAAGGATTTTAATTTTGTAAAACTTAATCTTAAACAAAATCATATTATCCAGTCTTTTCCTAGGAAAATTGTTAATTAGTTAAAACTTTAAATCTACTTTTATAGTCGTACACAGGATATTTCATAGGATAAAATATAAATGGACATAAGATATTTCTGCCCAAAAACACAAAAATAATTCCAAGGCAGACCATGTTTTCATATACAGTATCAGGAAAGGGAGGACTAAAATCTAATGAGCGTAAAAAATGGATTTTCCAAAAATATGGACTTAGGACAGTTCTGATCTGAGGTAAGTTATTTTTCTAGTAAATAAGGTTTTTTTTTGTTTTTATGATTTTTCTTGAAAATTTAAACAATTTGACCTTTTTTAGTAAGAATTTAATTTTTACGATACTAAAATGATATTAATAGCATAATTATCGTATTAGAGATTTCAATTTAATTTTATAGTCTCTTGATAAACTTTGTAGCTTTGACAATTTTTAAAAAATATTTCTGTTTAATATCCTTTCAGGATTTCTTTTGTTCTCATAAGTAAATGATAATTGAAGTTTTTTCATAAAATTACAGAGCAAATGAATAATGTAGCCAAAATAACTGAGTCAATTCAGAAGAATTGAAAATAATTCTCTTCTGGAACTTAGATTCGAACCAGTTCCAAAAATAATAAAAAATCGTTGAACTGCTCGTACATATAATATAAAGGAGTGACAATGCCTATATATACGTTAAGTACATGAATTCAAATTAATTTTATAAAAATAAATTTGTAATATAAATTAACTTTTACGATATTAGACAATACCTCAAACTAACAGCTTTAAACAGCTAAAGATGTGGAAATTCTGCATATACTTGCAATTATTCAAATTTATCCATATGCATATATAAGTTCTAACCATGCATATAATATGCCCTTATATATACAATTATGGATATAATGTAGGTATATGTGAAAATTGTCGCAAAAAAGAAATAAATAAATAAAATTTCTAATCGTACCCAAAAAGTATATATAAAGCCTATAATAGCATGGACCATGGATGACATCAAATGTAGTGGAAAATTTCCAAAGTATATACGTATGTACTATTTCTATTATAGACGAAATATAAGTATACACATAGATATAGAAATTGTTACATTACATAAATATTCATACAAAAATATTAGGTGTAAAATTTTGTACTATAAGGTCACCATTAAAATATTTTCTGAAATAGTTTTAAAACTTTTGAATAATGTGAAAGTTTGAACCTGTTTTGTTTCCAAAGTATGTTGACATGCTTCCAATTATTTACCAAAGAATTGAAATGCCTTGATATTATATAAAATTTATTATATAATTATTAAAATATTGAATTTCAAGATATTAAAACCTGAACTATGCAAAATAGTGTGAAGTTCACCATGATTAGAACGAACCTGTCAATTAAGAAGAGTCGCATCAGTTATCGTTATTAAGTAATTAAAAGATTGATGTATATTTGATAATTTAAATTTACTCAAAAAATCTCAGGAGACCGTTAATCTTAATGACCACAATAGTCCACAATCTATAGTTAGAATACATACTCACAGCTAAATTAATAATTATTTTTAATTTTTGCAACGACAGAAGAGGGTTTTAGATAATAATTTCATTATTTCAAGACGTTATTGCCTATTATGAGATAAGAAGCTTTTATCTTTTTGATAAATTTTTCAAGATCCAGCAATAAAAACAAAAACATACTTCTTTGGAATCGAAGTCATTAAAGTCTAATGAAGGATGTGATGCACTTTTCACAATATTCAAATATTTTAATGATTTTATAATAAAGCCACCCAATAGAAGCTACCCAACATATAACGGCTGCCATGAAAATAAATTTTAAGTTTTTAATATTAAAGTTTAAATTTTTTTTGTTTCTTGTTTTAAGATTCCCATTTTATATTTGAAAATTTAGAAAATATATCAAGGGTCAAAGTGGATGGCATCACAATTTTCACAAAAAAAAAAAAAAAAAATGTATAGCACACGTGTGGCTAAGCTACTTAATAATCAGAACCGTTTTTCAAGATTTAAAATTTTTCGTGAGCCAAAATGACAACATAAAAATAATATGCAAAAAAGGTGCCTATTTAAAAAAAATTCATCCAAAGAATGCAATATGGATAAACTCTCCCTTGGAATGAATTTCTTTCGTTCATAAATTCAAAATCGATCTACAGTCAGTCAACTACAGAATGTTAATGTCACTTTTGATCTCCGTTCGGATACTTTTTGACTGATCGGAATAGGCCGCATATCAAACAATCATAATTCTTTTAAATGCAATAATACAAAAATTTAAAGCGATTTCGAGTACTTTTGTCGACAGGAATCGAAGGGACCGGATATGGCTCGGGAACCATAGTGTTTCCACCACCGGTATGTCATAAAATAGGCAAAGAATATTACCGTATCCCTTTTTTTTTTGAGTAAAATTTTCAGTTCATAACTTTCTAACTAAATGCGTATGCCTTTTTTGTTTTCACATAAAAATAAAAATTATTCATACGTTATTTTTTTTTTAGGTGAATTGCACATATAAATGTGCATGTGTGTGTGTGTGTATATACACTTACAAATATAATTGTGTCCTTTTTTAAATTCATTTTTTTGTTTTTGCTCTTGTTTTTAGTTCAGTTTAAAAATATTTTATGTGTGGCTTTTGTACAATATTTTTGTGTGCACTCATTTTTATTTTTTGCATTTTTTGTTGTTGTTGTTTTCTTTTTATTTATAATATTAAGTACTTTACTGCATAAAGATAAATTGTTTTTGTCTGGAGAATTTTGGAACATTAAATAAAATGAAAGCGGTTAAAGCACTTAAAAGCCATATAAAATGATAAAAAAAAATTTGTATATAACTATTATTTTGTTATTGTTTTTTTTTTTTATTATTTTGCTCCTTTTTGTTTTAGTTTTGTAAAGGAAGAAGAAAAATATAAGACTAAAGTCATTTAAATTTGTATGTGTGAGTATTAGGTTGTTTTTGTAGTGAAATTGCTAAATTTAAATTTTGTATATGCATTTGTGATGCGGTGCATAATTTTTTTGTTCTTACAATGAAAATAAGAAGAATCTTATGAAACTATGTGTAAATAGAGACTGAAGAGATAAATGTGATAAATTCCGGTTAGAAACTGTTTGTTAGCAATTATGAAAAAGAATACTTAAAACAGGATTAATATTGAAAAGTGGAAAGCGGAAATAATTGATCAGAAAATGAATTCATTCTTCATTTTTGATAGTAAAGTTCAAGGGGCTGATTATTAATAAAAATATTTGCCTCTTTAACAAAATTTGACGATAAAGATTAATAATAAAAATAAATATTTTTCATATATAAAAATCTCAACTTGAAGCTAATAAACCAAAACAATTTTAGTCAGAAAACGCTTTTAGCATCTTACAGAATACATTTTCTCTTCATGAATCTATTTTAATATAATTTGGTTCAATAGATTACTATAGAAACTAGTAATAGGAAAATAGTGAATCAATATGCAAAATGTAAAGAGGATCTTATTAAAGACACGTTTTCTGAAGCAAATTGTCGCTTATAAATCAAGACCAGTAGAAGTCTGGTCACCACTGAAATTTTTTTAATTTCTACGTGGATTTCCTCGATAAGTTGCAGAAATTGAAAATCAAAAATTGTATGACGTTTATCAACTTAAGTGAGTATAAAATTTCCTATAGAAAATATAAAAATAAATTAAAAATATTAAAAAAAAAAAAATTTCTTTCGGACAATTAAAATTATGTACAAAATATAACAGTAATTCTTATCAAAAATTAAAAATATTTGTTCAGCAAACATTTTGCAACTTAAAAAATTTACATTTGAAATAAACGAAAAACAAACCTGTAAATTTAAACAAAACTGTTAAATTTCATTTCGTTGTTAATTTTTTTTATTTTTCTTTTTTTCTTATTTTAAAAATTTTGCAATACAGTACAGAAATTCAACATTATCCTGATAAACTTATCTGTTGATATTTTCTGCTCAAAAAAGCTTATTAATTTCTTTTACATCTACCGAGAGACATCTGTTGGGTGTATAAAAAAATTATAAAACTACATTACCAATTTTTAAAAATTGTGTTGCGAATATTTTTTTTACCACAGATTTCTCAACAGACAATCGTCAACACAAAAACAGAATTTAAACAAATTCATATACTACACTTGCCTTTGCGTGCATAAATTTAGGCGAAATCTCGTTTACAATATTAATTAAGCAATGTACCATACCCCTTTGTATATCAATGATACCGAAGATTTCAAATCCAAATCAATAGTTTTTATCAATAATTTTTATGATTTAAAATTTTCTTTTAAAAAACATATTGGTAGAAAACGAAATCCTTTCCGATTTTTTAATAAAAACTCAAAAATTTCAAATTTTTAATAATTTACTTTTTACAAATAATTTACAAAACTATAAATTTTTGTAATTTACAATCATAATCGAAAATAAATTTGTTACGATATTGTATTTTGAAATTTACTTCGCCTTGATTTATGCAATTTATTTTTTGAAAACTACAAACAAAGTTAATTAAACTCAATTCTCTTTAATAACATTCACCACTAGATGTCAGTAAGTACATTAAAATTAAAAGAAATTTTGTTTCATCTGAAATTTTTCAATAATTTTTTTTTTCAATTTTCAATGGTTTTTTATAAAATAAAAATTTATTTAATTAGCCACAGTTTGATAAAAATATTCAGAATCTAAATTTAAATTTTTCCTACCAAAAATTTTAAAATTTTAAGAAAACTTTACAAGAACGTACTCTTTGAGAAAGAGAGACAATATGAGTTTAAATTAAAAATTTTATAATTTTCAATTCAAACAATCTGACAATTAAAATATTAACAAATAAAATCTGTTATATAAGCTTTATAAAAAAAATTAATTAATTTAATATTACAAATTATAATTATAACAAAAATTCTAAAGCTACAAAAATCAATCTAGAATTCCTAAACTATCAAATCTTTTTAATGAATATCTCATTGTTTCAATATAACGATCAGTTGAGAACATTACTTTCCTTCGCCATGCTAAAACTTCATCTGTTGAAAATTTATCTACATTTGCCTTTTTACAATATTCTGGATGCATTGAAATTGTTGGTAGAATTCCTTCAAAAGCAAAAAAACCAAAAAATTCTTTATTTCTAACTTCTCGTTCAATATCCTCCATAGATGGAATTGGTTTAAAATTTATTTTATTTAAAGTTTCTATTAACGAATTATAATAATGCTTTAGAAGTTCATTTCTTTTACTTTTTAAAATATTAATTTGTAAACTGGTATTAAAAAAATAATTTAAATCCAATCCAAGACTAGCATAATGACACATTTGAAAATCAAGCTAAAAATTAAAATGTTTACTAATTTGAGTATGTTAATATGAAAATACTTACAAATATCACGTTATTTGGTTTTCCATTGTTATCATATTGAAACATAAAATTATTTAAATGCAAATCACCATGATTTAAAACTTTTAATTCATAATCATTTGTTTTTTCTATAGCTAAACATTTATCAAAAAATTTTTCTTTAAGATTTTGAATTTTTATAGAAATAGTTTCATAGCCAGGCCAATTTTTTATAGCTTCAGCTATACAAGATAAATTTCCTTCAAAAATATTTTTCTGTAAAGTTGTATTTCGATTGTTCTCATGAAAGAATCCTTTATCATATAATTTCATCAAATTTTGGTCCTGTTTATGTTTATCGTATTTAAATATTTTATTATCTATATTAAATATTTATGAAATTTTTTTGAATTTACATACTTGCTGAGCTAATTTTAAAGAGGCTGCATGAAACATTCCCAATTTCTTTAAAACTAATTTACCATGTTCTTCATCAATTCCAATTTCACGATTAGCTAATTTATATCCAGAAACTTTTAAATCTTCAAATATAATAATTCGATCAGCATCGGTTTTAATATAGAAATGCCTAAAAATTTGATAATGTAAATAAAAAAATTTTATGAAAAACGAATTAAACATAACTGACCTTGGACCCAAAATATATTTAATATTGAGAATTTCTTCAAATTTTGGTATTATATTTTCGGTCATATCGACTTCTTTACAAAAAAAATTCAAATTCTCACCAAATGGTCTTTTCTCATCATTTGGTAAATATTTAATTATAAAATATGCATTTTGAATACGATTTGTCTCTTCATTCTTTTCACCTATACAAAAATATTCTATGTTTACTCTCAATATTTTACTAAAATAATTTTCTCCATCATTGCTACCACGTGAAAATTCTAATTTTATTATTTGAAATTTTTTCTCATCATATGAATTAATATTTTTTAATAGATTTTCAAAAAATTGTTCATTAAAATATTCTGGTAAATTAATATCACTTAAATTTATAATTTCCATCATATTAAATTGTATTTATTAAATAAAATGCAGTTATGTACATTTAATTTTAATTATAAATTAATAAATTATTATTTTATTTTTATATTAATTTTGCATGCAGCTGATAAAAGATCCCTTCAGCCGTGTAAATTGTTCCATACTATGAGACAACAGAAAATATACTAATTATAATATAGCAAACAATTGAGATGAGAAGAGATGACATTGATATAAACGTACAGTTATGTTATTTTTATATTATTGCATTTTGATATTAAATTTATAATGTTCTACTGTTGTGTCAGCACAAAAGTTCAATGCTTTATTTTTTATCTCTAATCAAATTCTCTCATACTGATATAATAACGTACACATAAATATACTGTGAAAATATATTATACATAATATCTATAAATGTACTACATAATATACACGTCACAGCTTTCTTTTTACTCTTAATGTGATGAAGGGAGAAATATTTGAGAACAAGAGAATATTTTCAAAAAAAGAGAATTCTTTAAATAATGAAAACAAATATTGAGAATCAAATAAATTTTAAATCATAGTTGCTTAGTAAGTCTCACTAATAATTACTACCATCATTGTTTAGGTTTATTTAATATGTATGTAAAATTATTTTGCAGCAAGTTTGGACAGATATTATATTATGCATATGTAAAACAATTTATTAAGTTACGCACTCACTTATTGTTCTATTTAATAGCTTAAAAATATTTTACAAGTCATTCACAATTTTATTTTATTTAATAAAAGTATAGAACAAATAATTTTAATTTATACTTTGATAATTAAGAGTGGAGAATTAAAAATAAAAATTATGTGGTTTTTAGCACTTTTCTATAAAAAAAAATTAAAAAAAAAAAGTGCTTATTAATTTCAATCTGTCCGTCCGTCCGTCCGTTCCCTGAAGATAGAAAACTGAAATTTTATATGTACATAGATAGAAACTTATTTCAGTGGACCAAAATTTTTACCTATCTCCCCGTTTTAAAGTTATACCCCGTAAAACAAAAACGGCATTTTGTAACTATTTATTGTAGTGAAACCATATAAGCATTTTTCAAATATTGCAAACACAGAAAAGAAGTTTCTTCTACCTTGCCATATTATAGTTGATCTTTAAAAAAAAAAAAAAGATGGCCGTAAAAATTAACCATTGCCTAAAATCCGTTTTTTTTTATTTTTCAAATCTTTGATATCGATCTACTTCCATACCACATGTTGTGGTTGTCTGAAATTTATTTTTTAGATATTAATAAACAATTTTAGAAGAAAGTTTTTTTCCACCTCATCTCCCTCTCTCAAGTTATTGCATTAAGGAATTTGCTAAATTTGAATTTTCGGTACTTTAAATTTCCGGAACGGCAAGCTTTTCTAAATTGCTATACATGCAAGAAGCTAATGAAAAATTCAGTCCCTTCAAAAAGTACAATTATTTTTCTTAAGTCACGCAATTAGCCTTTGAACTCAAGCATTATGTTAACGAATCTTTAAGCTACATATTTTGGTTGCGGCATCCTAAATCTATGCAATTTTTTTTAAATATTTTTGCATATGAATGAAATAAGCATTTCATTTACTGAACGGAAAAGTGCTACTTTACAAGCCTCTTGTAACAATTACCATCCTTTATTAAATATTATTTATTTACTTTTCGGTTTCTAGCAGTATAGTTAGTATTAATTAAAATAAATAAGAAAAAATAAAAACAAAACTATAATTGTGATTTAAAAATTACTTACAAATAAATTACTTGGAAAAATTTTAATTATTATAAAGGCGATTCAGCAATATTTTGTATAATTAAACTTTTAATTTCTAGTTTTGTATAGAAAAAAAAAATGCCGCCCTTAATTTAATAAATTAAATAAATATTTTTTATTTTCAACATTTTAATTGTAAATACATACGATATTAAAGTAAAAAGAATTGGTTTTTTATGAAATTTATACTTATATGAATAAATTATAAAATTATACACAAATTGAATTGTCTGCCGCTTCAAAGTGATCATACGGCATTGAATAAACTGTACTTACATATATATATATATATATATATATTCTGTTAAAAGTTTTATACTTGTGAAAATTTTATTATACAAGCTTTTGTGTAATTGTTTTGTTTATGACTTGCACATTTCATATTATTTAAGTAATAATAAAAAAAAAATTACATTTTTGTATAGATAATAGAACTATGTTATTAATTATACAGCGTATAACAAAAAAATGTATAACAAAAAAATGTATAACATGAAATGTATAACAAAAAATATTTTATTATAAATCATAATAAAATTTCATCTATTTCACCTTACTATTTGGGTTTAATTGAAATATTTTTGCCTCAATAAAATTCATTAATAAATAAATTTAGAATGACAAATAAGTCTAAATTACATTCTCGTTTGTATACATTTTTTTGCCATATTTTAATCTGGAAACTTGTAAAATTTCATATATGAATTCAATTTAAAATTGTCAGTACATAATCCGACTACAATGTATATTTTCTGAACAACATTTCCACATTTCAATAAATTTATTCTTATATTAATTAAAGCAATTGGATTGCACAAGATTATCTAATTTTTACTGTACTCCCTTATCTCAATTTTAAGTACTAATACAAGCATGCTAAATAATAATAACTTCAAAAATATAAATTCAGTTCTTGGTAAGAAATTTTTGGTTAGATTCTATCCTGAAAATTCAATTAGTTGGCTCAGTTACTAATATTAAATTTCATAAAATTCAATTTAATATTTCCTTATATAATATTTCCAGATTCCGTTGGCAAGGCTCTTAAAACATTAATTTTATTCAAAATTCTCAAAGAAAACAAGTTTAACTATAAATTATTTTTGTATAACACTTTTATTTATTTGTAATAATAATAATACTCTGATTTATTCCAAGATATATAATTAATATTGTTGTCTAATGAATTAAAATTAATCTATATAAAAATATAGAATATTTCCCGATATAATTGCTATATATTAGTTATAATATAATAATAAAGAGTATAAGATTTACAACAGCCAAAAACTTATATATAAAATTTATTTAAAATTATCAAAAACTTTTAAATTATCACAACGTTTAATTGTTGTCTTTAAAATTTCAATAACTTTATCATTTTTTGTTAAAACATTTTTTAATTGCCTTAAAATTTTATCTTTATCTAAAAATGTTTCATATGAATTATCTTTGGATTCATCTCGATCAATTGATATAACCAATAATATTGTTTGAGCTGCCATAAAACCAATAAATTCACATTCATTAATTTCATTTTGTATATAATCTAATGTTGGTATAACACCATTATAATTAAGATTTTTTAAAGTTTTTTCTAAATTTTTATGATAAATTTTTATTAATTCATCACGATTACGATGCTCTTCGATTTTAAGACTTGTATTAAAGAAATATTGTAAATCTAATCCTAATGATCCATAATATGATAATTGAAAATCAACCTGAAATTTTAAAGACACCACATATAATATAGTCGAAATTTCGTTTTGAAATTTTAAAAATTCTTATATACTTACAAAAACTGCATCAGCCAATTCATTTTCATTTTCATTTCTGATAAGGACATTATTTACCCACATATCACCATGATTTAATACTTTTATAATATTTGGTCTTTCAATTATTTTATCAATTAAATTATATAATTCATCTACTGTTAATTTCTTTAATTTTTCCATTATTGGTTGAAATTCTGGGAATTTTTCAAATTCTTGTATAACATGTTTAATATTACCATGAAAAATACGATCACGTATCTTTTGACGTTCCTCAACAATTTCTCCGTCTTTATTTTTTTGATAAATATAATATTTAAAATTATCAAATATTCCGGGATTCTAAATTAAAAAAAGGATAATTTATTTTATTAAAAATTTAATAAAAAGGACACAATTATTGAATGCATACCTTTTCAGCTAGAACCATTGAAGCACCATGAAAATATGCAATTTTTTTCAATACAATTTGTGTTTGAATGTCATTCATTCCGATTAAACGGTCAGTAACATTATAATTTAATGATCCTAAATCTTCCATTACAATTGTTGGAATCTCATGATCAAATCGGCAATAATATCTGAATGTGAATGTGAATTAGTATACAGGGTTAAGATTTAAGGTATAATAATTAATAATATGACAAACTTTAAAAGGATAATATATTGCAAATTTTTAAATTTATGAAGCTCACCAATAAAAGTGGCTAACTTCAAAGGATATTTAGCATAATATTTCAGATTTCTAGGTAAAAACTCCAAGAATATTCGAAATTGGCAAAAAGTTTTAAATTGTTATTGCTGTTATAAATAATTAATAAAAATTATTGTATTATTTCTGCAGATTATACTGCCCCTATTCGTCTGAACCTTTGTTACCACAAAATTACTAAAATTCAGAGTTAAATACATACAATACCCTAATATTCACTATGGTTCTTCACTTGTATTCTAGTTGCTTTTATTTGTAATAGTTTTAACTTGAACTAGTTCAGGAATGAGTTCGAAATATGGAAACTTTTGAGAAAACAGTTAAATATTTAGGAATAATTCGTGAATACTATGAGAATAGGTTTAATTTCAAAGGAATTTCAAATTATAAAGGAATCCAAGTAAAGGAAATTTTTATAATTAAATGTAAATTTTCGGCCAATTATTAAATGTCAGCCAATATTTCGAATTTTCATATGATCACACTGCATTCCTCGAATACTCACTGCATTCCCCGTGTACCTCTACTTCTAGTACAAAGCATTAATATTATAATATTATCCTTTTTTTTTAAGTTTGATTATCTTATTTTAAGAAAATTAAATTTTAATTCTCACTTTGGACCAAATTTTATATTTTCTCCAATAAAAAAACTTTCCATTATTGGTAAGATTTTTGTATAAATTTCAATTTCATTTGAATAAAATCTTTGTAAAAATGTTGCTTTAACTAAATCTGGCATATGTTTTATAATAATTGAAATTATTTCATTTGATTTCGAATTATTTTTCGAATTATAATAATTAAAATCGATTTTAGCACGATATATTTTACTCATATAATTTTCACCACCACTACTACCCATTGTTATTGAAACTTTATTAATTATTGTTGATTTATTTGGGATTTTTATTGCATTTTGAAGAATTATATTAAAAAAATCTTCATTAAATTCATTTGGAATTTGAAAATTATTATTTTCTATAATCATATTTTTTTAATATTTATTCAATATCGATAATATCGTAAAATTCGTGCGATCACTTTGTATAATTAAAAAATTTTTTTTTTATGTAAAACCTTCCGCTAGAACAGTTTCTAAATAACTATTTTTAGTAATTTTTTTTTTTTTGCTTTTCTATTCTTAAATTAAAAATGATTTAAAGCTTCTGTTTTTTTATGAAAAAAAAAATATTTTCTAATAGATTAAAATGAATAAATTTATGAAATTTGTTAGAATGACTATATACACACATATTCTTATTGTTATAATATATGAGTTGTAAAAATTTCAGAAATGTGCTGGCACGAGAATATTTTCTAATTTATATTTAAGTACGTCATATTGTGTACGAGTATGACATGTTTTATCATTATCTAAACTAGTAGATAGCTTGTAATTTTGATTATAGCATATCATTTTGTTTGCTTTTTTAGCTTGTCTTGAAGTGATGCTTAAATATAGAAATTTAATAAAAATTATCAATATGGTAGCTGAGAAAACGGGTAATAGGACTGGTATAGTGTTCTTTATTGGGTTTTACGATGTCCGCAGCTACACATTTAAAAAATTACCATTGTTAAATTGAAATTTCTAATTCTAAAGAATAAAAAATGAATTCGTTCTTGTTGTTGCAAGAATTGAATTCAATAAGATAATGATTGTTAATTTAAGCAATTTGTTAATTAAAATGCTCCACAAACATCTTATTACAACTATTTGAAATAACACCAACTAAAAACCCTAAATTTAATGCCTACTGCTGTTAATTCTTGTAACTGCTTTTGCATAAATAAAATTTTGTTCAATTCGGACACGAGAATGTTATTGCGAGTTGTAAATAATTTATCATTTTCCCAACAAAAGCACGTAGAAATTTATTAAAAATTTAAAATTATTATTATCTGAGCCGAAATTTCTGTTTATCCCAGTGAATATAAACTCAAAAATTACTCTCTATCACTCTACTCCTGAGAAGATCAGGAACAATTTATGAACGGAACGTTGTTTCCAGTTATGTTGATATAAAAAACTTTATTGGATCTATGTTTACCAATAAAAATATTAAGCATAAAAAATCAATTGTGCGTTGCTATAATTCTATTCCTATTAGAATTGGAAGTATACCTACTATAAAAACCCGAAATTATCCGTTGAGAGCGTTTTATATACGCCTAAATAGAATACATTTTATCTCTTTCACAGCTATATAGAAATATAAATCTATAGCATCTATTTTAATAATCAATTATATGTATAGGTATACTATACATTCTACATCCTTAGTATTGTCGCATTATTACCTTAAATTTACAATATCATTGTTTCTGTAAATAATATAGATTCTACTTGTGTATGAAAATTGAATTGATTGAATGCAAAAAAAAAAAATATTGTACTTTCAATTAAAGAAACTTTTATTAACTTTAAGAGCATTTTTCAAATGCATTATATATTAATTACGATATAAATCAGAGTTGTGAACGGTAATTATTGGAGACAAGACAAATAGCATATAGAATAGTGTTTCTTTGTTTTACAAACGGAACAGATAATTATTTTATTATATTAATTGAACAACTAATGGATTATTTGTATTTAATCAAATAAAATACGGGAACAAACTGAAATAATAATATTCTATTAGAATTTTAGTTAATAAATACTCAAATTCAATTAGACTATCTTTGGAATTCTTTGAATTATTCTATATAATAATTATTTCTAAACTATTTAATAAAAAATATCAAAGCATCTTTACCATATTATAGAAGCGTTTCGATTAAAAACATTCCTTCAATTCTTATTTCTATATACGATATAATCTACCATATTATGGTAATTTCACTTCGCCCCTGATCATAATATTTTTTAGTTGAAATGCAATTCGCTTAAAGGCTAAATTAATTAATCTTGTACAATGAAAATGGTATATCTAACAATTGACTTAAGTTTAGTGTTTACAAATATCTTTATATCTTGCTGTAATAAATCGAGGACACATCACAGCACTTTGATTTTTAAGTAGAAACTAAAGGTATACTCACTACTGGTATTAATCGTTACGCAAGTAAAAAACTATAAAATGTTGCGAAAAATTCCTGTAATATTGTATTGTAAATCTCTATATTAATTTAATATAGAATAAATTATATTTGAATTGTTTATTTATATATATAAATAAAATTTAAATATTTATATAAATGTATGTACACGCATGAAAGCAAGAGTAGTCCTTAAATTATTAACCGAACCAAACTAAAGCTAACATATATGGTATAAGCAATAAGCATATTCCATACTCGCGTGAGTATGTGTGTATACACTCATATTATTGTATTATATACATTCGTTTTAGCTTTTTTCTGAACCATTAAACAACAACTTAATGATGAACACGCCATCTATTAATAAATGATTTTCCAATTTTCTTGTTCTATTTATTTTTATTTTGAAAGAAATTATTTTAATTCAATTTAGTACAATAGATGTCACTACAAATCATATATGTGATTTTCTTTTAAATTAAAAATATTATTACTGTTACTGCTATTTTATTTTCTTGTCTTGCAAGAAGACACGTTCCTCATCGAAATGAATGAATGCATACTTGTAAATAACAATGACGTATAAATGATACCAACTTGGTCAATTTTAGTTTGTAAATAATTTTAAGAGCGTAAACAATTTTGTTATCCTTATTATTACTGTATACTTACAATAACTTTTTCTCAGCTTATTTTCATGTGAAAATGCATTGGTATCCTTATAAGGAATTAAAAATCCAGTTTTCCTACAAAAGGTAAAAAATAAAATATAAAAAAAAAATGCACAGAATTTAATTTTTCGTTTTATATTTTTTTTTTTAATAAAGGGTTAAGTTATAATTAAAATTAAATTTAACATATTTTTAAACATGCATTTTTATAATAAACCTGCAATATACTCAGATATGACAACATTTTTTCATTAAATTTATGCACTTACAAATACACGTATATTTGCAAAATAGCTGGTACACAATTTCATGTATGTTTAATGAATACCTTAACATTAAACGAATAGTAACGAGTTTAATATGGGGAATGGAATTTTGTGTAGAATTTTATAAAACCCTATTTTCTAGTTATTCCGATATTCCTTCTATAAATTAATTCATGTAATGTAAAAGAATAAAAAAAAGGATCGTGTAAATTATACTTTATAGCTTGTAACTAAATTCTTAAATTTATAAATAATTTAAATTATATTATGGTGCAATGTGTTCATTTAATAAAAACAACATAAAATCAATAGTGTATACATAAATAATCATCAATATCTCAAACGAATATTTTAAATTATCAGGTTGTACCTATAACCTTGTATAATTGTTGCAATTAATTCAACTATGAAGGATCTTGCATGATCGTAAAAGTTATATACATAAATATTTTTTTTTTATTTTGAAATTGTACTTTGCAGCTTGAACAATAGGACAATTTTACAAATTTTATTCGTAACAAAAATTGTAAAGTTAATTTTAGTATAAGAAATTTTAGAAAAATACCCTTTTTTAACGGTTACGATATTAGAAACTCAATATATTTTAACATAACTAGCTATAGCTGCTTAACTGTAAACAATGGAAACTATGTTTTGAAATTTGCTTTATTCAGCTATTAAAATTGTTTTTGTGAAAAAATTAAATAGACGCCAATTGCAAAATTCTATATCAATACGATATACAGCAATTTTGAAGTCACAGATAATATAACTACGATTTAGTAGTATAAGGCATACACTACTAGAGTATAAGATTCCTTGACTTCCAAAATGCAATAATACGGTATTAATACATAATTCAGCAATTCACACTTATAAGCTGAATTGTACTTTAATACCGTATTACTACATTTTAAAATTCAAGGATTCTTATATCTTACAAACACATACGAGAAAATCGTAAAAAATCATCGCACGAAAATTTTCACGGGACAATTCCATTTTTTGACCGAGATGAATTTTTCAAGTCACTGTAAACAAAACAATTCGCGCTCGAATGACAAAACGTTTTGAGTGAAGTTGTCCTAAAAAATGTCAAACTTTCCAATGGAAGTGTCAGATTGCACCTGGCAGCACTAGTATTGCCAGGACCCGAAATATAAATAGTGACCTACGTAATATATTGTATATTATATGTATGTAGTATGTACATTCTAAAATTTTTTGAATCAATTCGAAAATGATGGCTTCAGCGATAGCATAATTTTAAAGTTTAATCAATATGGGCTTAATTACTAGCTAACAACAAAATAAATATTCTTTAAAAGAATAAATACATACATACATATGCGCATATTAAATATTTTTTTTTAAAAATAAAACCTTGTCCTACTTTCTATTAGCTTTTAAAATTGAAATTATAATCTTTATTAGGTTAATTTTCTACGGAAATAATTACTTTATCGGTATATCAGCTTTGAAGTTCAAATTAAATATACTTACATACATATACTTATATTTTAAAAATCCTATAACAATTGGACAAGAGCACGTTTTAAAGCTTATATTAGCTTTTACGTCAATTAACTGTAATAATTTCGTAATTTTAAAAGATAATGAAATTAAAAAAAAAATAATTATAAAAGAATTTGTAGAAATAAATATACCTATGTATAGACAAATATAATTTATAACTGTAATGTACATATGTACATATGTAATTGTTATGTCAATATAAAGTATGTATATCAGTTTGATTCATTTAATTTCAATTCTGTAATACTAATTCTGTTCTTTGTATAATATTAATATTTTCATACAGTAAGTTAAGTGTTGAAAAATTCAATGACTTTAACAAAGATAAAAAATTTTATAATTAATATTACAGAGTCCGGGACGATTAGACATCCAAAAACTTTTATACATGCTACATATTTCCTGTTTCCAGTTAATAACGGTAATAAATATTCTATGACAATAGTTAAAGCAAAATTGTAACTGAATTTAAGAAATGAATTACG